AGTCAGGAATCTATGAAGTCTCCAGCAAAATGATATACTCTAAATGTGGAGCTTTCTGGGGTTAATGCCATTTTAAGCAACTCTGCTAAATATTACCTTTTCTGTGTATCTAGACTCTGAGGCTCCAAGAGATGACACTTACGACCAAAAGAGCTGTCATTCATTTTCTTGAATACGTCTGAACCTGAACAAATTACTAATCACCCCAGTGACGAAAGAAATGAGAGATGCGAATGAGTTTTTCTTTCAAGATAGCTTAAATTTTGTTATTAGTAGGTAAATCACTTTTAATATCTAAAGCAGTACTCAGAAAGATTCATATGGCCTGAGAAGAATAGGTTTCATAAACTCTTAGAGGAAAAGAGAAGTTTGGCTGCATATTCTTATTTACATAGTGGTTTGACCAAGTATGAGTTTGTTTCTCAAGTGCAGAGGTAGACAACCCAAAGTTGGCACTGCGTTATCTGCAGCAGCGTCTATAACCTGGGCTCTTTCAGGTTTCTGCTCACGGTTGTCTCAACGTTGGCTCTTCCTCCTTCAGGCTCACATCTGCATTCTAAGAGGAATCAAGAAACAGAGTGACCAAAAAAATGCACATCAAGGAGGCAAAGCTTACATCAGAGAAGCAAAACTTTTCTAGAAATCTGTAGTCAACTTCCGCTTTCACTTACTAATTTTTCTTTTCCTTCCTTTTTTTTTTTTTTTGGCTAGAATAGTATCACATGGCTATGTCTAGCCACAAAGAAGACTGGGAAATAGAATTTCTTCTTCTTTTTTTTTAATCCTGACATATTGCTACCTACAACAAAACAGAGGTCTTCTTATTAGAAAGGAAGAAAGGAGAATGGATATTGTGTAGGCACCCAACATTGCCTGCTGTCATACTTAAGAGATCATTTAATGCATTTTCTCCCTCTTTTCTCTCCACCTTTCATCATTTTATGTTGAGAAAATGAGGTCAGGTGCCTTACTCAACATCATACAGCCAGTTCATGGCAAAGCTGGAACTAAAATTCACAAGTATGACTCGTAACACAGCGGGGCTCCTTCCGGGGTACGCCGCTCTTCTCTTATTTCATAAACTGTGCACAGAGCCCACCCAGCTATCCTGATACCACTCTTCTTCTTACTCCCCCAACTCTGTCAGCCGGTCTCCAGACCCGGGTCTGTATTTAGCCAGATGCTGTGTTTCATTCAACCTTAAGAGTAACATTGTTCGGCTGCGGCTGGAAAATGAATAACGTCCATTTCAGCAGGCTGCCTTGGCTTTCCAAAATAGCCAAGAGTTTAACTGAAAGGGTTCAGATTTTTGAACTGCAAACAAAGATTAACTGCCAAGGAGAATTTCAAAAGGAAACACAGAATACAACAGAATATTCTTTGACCTAAACTACAGAAAGGAGGCTAGGACTAAATTTCATTTACCTTGAAATCTGCTCTCCCTCTCCTACCCTCAGCTGTGTCTATCCTTTGCAGTATCACTTTGGTTCCTGTCCTATCTTAGAATGTACTAGAGTCATGGCTGTTTAGTTAGAACCAACGGGTCTGATCTACCAACTGTCACAGAACAGTAGCCCCTGGGAAAGTCCACCTGAGGCAGAAATAGCACCACGCCAGGTAACAATTCAAACACAAAGATAGGCCAAAGTTCCAAGGAGCAGGCGTGGTCACCCAGTCGGACTCCGAGTCTGCTTTCCTGTGCATACATTATGCAGACATAATGCAGACATTATGTTTCCGCTATTATCATGGGCTCATACGGAGAATCCCTGATATTCAGAAAGTGCAAACACTGGACATTTTAGAAGATTATCACGCTCTATTTCCAGCCATTTGTTTCAGAAGCTTTGAAGTTGGATCAGAACATGCTTCTGTATTATTATAGTAAATTTTTTCTAAGCTGCAGCTAAGAAGATAATTAGAACAAATGAGATGTAGATTTCAGTGCAAGAGTAAGAAGGCACTTCTGACAATGAGCTAGACGATGCCACTTGAGGCTGGGGACTTGTGTTTTCAGCAAGAACTTTGCACTTGCTAGTTATTAATACTTGTCCATTTTGAAGCTGTATTCAACAATGCTTAGGACCACATTATGAATTAATTGTTCTTCCTCTGAGTAGGAGTTTGTAGTAGATAAGCTTGGAGGTGCCATCTCAAGAAAGGTTCCATGATTTGATCATTATAATGTAGATTGTCAGCACATGAGTTCTTAAAAATGACTTTTTTTTTTTTTTTTTTTTTTACTTAGGATGTAAGACAAATCCTTTTCCTGCCTTATCTTGTGGGCTTGACATGCAATTTCTTCTTCTCAGAACTCTCATCCCCTGATTTTTCTCATTATGCTGTTCAGATGTTGTCACCTCAGAAAAGCTCCTGTGACCAAGCTTCCCCAAACAGCCCACACCCACTCGTCAGGGATTGAGTTGGGTCCCCCACAGGACAAGCCATCAGCGCATGTAAGAGCACATTTTTCTCATTGATTGATACATGTCAGTCACATGTGGGGCTTCAACAGAGAACAGCTAGGACTTTGTCAGCTGTGATCTGGACTCTCTGATGCCCTCCTGGTGAATATTAGGATATGCCCTTGCACACACACACACACACACACACACACACACCAGAGAGACCCCAAACAAACAATAATCTTCAGCAAAGGTTTATCTAAATCCAGAGTTTTAGAAATGTTTCAACATTATTTGCATGCATGAATGAATCTGTCTATCTATCATCATCTATCTCTATGTATGTATGTTGATTTATATACGCTAAAAGGTTATCTTTTTATTAATACATCGAGCATAACATCTCAGTCTGAAGTACCTGAATTTAGGTGACTTGGTGGCACGTTCACCGTGTGTTTAATATGATATATGTTGTTCTATAACAAAGCATTTCTTTAGGTTTTGTTCTTTTTCTTTATCATGTGTCTTGGAAGTCTCTCCATGTTAGTTAGTCCATTTAGGTCTATCCTTATACATTACATGAGGGTTTCTCTAGAGTAGACTCTGAGAAGTCTGACTTCAGGGCTATGGAGTCTGTGAGGTTTTTTTTAAGTATAAAGTTCTCTCCAAAAGTAGCTGAACTCATTTGCAATCCCATCACTTGTGTATAATGTTATTTCTCATTGCCCTTCCTCATGTTTGATATAAACATTTTTTGCAGTCTCATAGATGCTTAATGTTATTTTTTCTAGCCTTACAAAAAGGTTCAGCCTGTACCAAAAATAAATGTATAGATAGCTATCTCACACACACACACACACACACATTCATAGACGTTTATTGAGACTAAAACTCCTCACATTATTATTTTGTGTTATTTTAATTGCTTTTTTATAATGAACACTCTAATACAAATCACATTCCTGACCTTTAATAGGTATTCTAAATTCCAACTTCAGTTACGAGTTTAAAAATGGAAATATGTATACTGAATCAAGATTTCATGAAGTCTGTACATCACCCTCATTCCTTTTGTTCCTTAATATCCTGGACCTTCTTGTATGAGATGTGGAAGTCTGAGTTGGGTGTGAGGACAAATGTGAGAGGGTGAGGGAAGGTGACTAGAAACTGCTCATTAGAGACAGAGTTACAGAGCAAAGAGGTCAAACCAATTATTTCTCTCCATTACTGAGAATTTATGATATGAAGTGGGAAACAATTATGCCTAACCTTTTATGCCTTCAATAAATATTTGCCTACTCTATGGTAGGGACTGGGCATATGTGTGCGTGAAATAATTACTTGCTCTCATGGAGTGTTCAGTCTAGTGGAAAAGACACAAATAACAAATTATCACCAAATGGTGAAGGGTATGAAGGCAACAAGCAGGGATGACATGGACGAGAGTGGGGAGACATACCGTGCCAGAGTTCCAAGAAGGCCTTGCTGAGACCTAAAACACAAAAAGATGGTGTCCAGGAAAAATTAGAGGGAAAGCATTCCCAGCAGAGATAATAGCATTTTACCCACCCTAGTGATAGACTGACAGAACCCTGTGAAGAGGGAGACGGTGGAATCAGGCGAGGCAGGATGGAGGGACACAGGCGAGATACGGGAGCCAATACCTTGTAAGAAGAAGCTAGAAGATCACTTTGTAGTGTGTACACGTTGAATTGTAACGTTCTATAGTTGAAACTTATATGTTATATATCAATTTTACCTCGATAAAAAGAGAGCACATATGTGCATGAGAGAAAGAGAGGAGGGAGGAGCAGGGAAGGTGGAGGAGGGGAGGAGGGAGGGAGGAAGGAAGGAAGGAAGGAAGGAAGGAAGGAAGGAAGGAAGGAAGGAAGGAAGGAAAAGCTAAGTGAAAATGAGAGTGCTCTGACCTGCTGGAGCAGAGGAGAGATGAAGAGAGATCTCAGAGAGCCAAACTGCTCTTCTCCACTGCACGTGTCAGACTAGAGAAAGCATTGCTTAATAGATATGCATCTATAATGATATTCACTGCAGTGACATGTTACCTACTTTTATAAATATATGAACATATTTTGAATAAAATATATGTATTTAATTCCATGTCTGGCATATTATGGGTCCTTAATAAATGTGCATTGAAATGAAATTCATCTGTTAACATTCTCAAATATTTCCCATTTTTTCACATTAATGGTTTTTTTCACTGGAAAAAAGTTTATAGTCTTATAGTCTATTTTTAAGTCAACAACACACAGGCGTATTTTTTTAAGGTAAAACTTGCATCCATTTCTTTAAAAAATGGCAGAGCAATAATAATATCAATGACAGTATTAATGCAGTAATGAATATCAATGCCAAAATAAAGATTAAATTGTCATTAGGATTTATGTTCATCTCTCAATGCAAGTAGTTACTTCTAGCACAAACAACTATTGATAAATCAATACCACAAGAAGGGTAAACAATTGCTCCCTTTTATCTGCAAAGGTTATTTGGCACAAAAAATAATCTTATTTTTTTAGATTTTATTACTATAGGTCAGGTTAATTACAGCTAATTTCTACCATTTTAATGCAGGATTGTGGTTTGCTGATTCACCCAGAGGAAACCTGTGGGTTACAGCCTATTTCCTCTGACTACATTGAAGCCATTTCACAGCCCGAACTAAAGATCTGTCCATCTGGGGACACAACAGGTGACGATTACTTTGGATATCACTTCTCCTAAAAAATCCTCCAATATAGATGAGTATATACTTATTTAAACTATCCTTATACAAAAAAATCAAGGTACTACATGACTTTTTCATTAGTATGAACGGTAACACATAGAATTAATCTGAATACATTGCTTTAATATGTGAACTATTTGATTCACCAAATTCTTTTTTCTTCACCCTCTGCTCTTTGCCTGGTTAATCCATATTCATCTACAGATATCAGCCAAAACATCACTTGTACCAGAAAGCCTTTCTTGAGCCCCTGATTTGTTTCCTTATTGTATATTTTCATAGCACCCTGTGCTTTTTTTCCATGACCATTTCCACAATCATTTAAATGTAAGTATGTAATTAATTCTTTGAGGTCAGTCTTCCCAGATCATCAGCTACATGAGGACAGGGAGTCTGACTTGTTCACACTCTATCAATTCACTTAGCACTATAATTTCTACAGAGTAGGGACAAAATAAATATCTGTTGGCTATGTGAACCAATGAACTGCTTAAGGGAACAAATCTAGGTTTAAATCATTTTTTTAACTAAAAAAAAAAAACATCTTTGAGAATGATCACTAAGGTCTCCCATATACTGAGCATTAAATAGAGGCAGGAAAATCATAATGTCAAATTGAAATTACAGTGTTGAACCCTGCCTAATTATAGAGCAGACCTGGAATGAGGCACTTTGGTGCCACTGTCCACGTTCCCTGTTTCTCTCCTTCCCAATGTTATTCTTTCAGTGGAGACTAGTGGAGTCAAGCTAAAGCTGGGACTAAAAGTACCTCCAAAGAGATCAGAAGAGCAAGGAGCGTCTTCTCTGAGATTCCTGGTTGTCCCTCTGGCCTCATGACCCCAAGTCTCCCTTTATCTAAAGAGTCTGAGAAAACACTCAAGAGCTTTTCTACCCTTGCCATGAACTTCACACCACAACTTGAATGGGAAATGAGTTTCACAAATGGGCAGTACAAATCGCAATTTGGCATGCATAGTTAACAAACGTGGGCATATCCCTGTTCTTGAACATGTGTTCTAAATAATAAATCACAGTCGGCACATAGGGAGGGATTTACCCATTATGGCATGTCAGGTGGTGTGGTTTATGATTCTCAGCTATATAGATAGAGATATATACTCTTACATACAAAGGAGACACCAATGTGTCTAGTTAAGGATGTTTTTTATCAGATGACATTTTATGAGAATCATAAAACAACTTAATTCCATTCCTCCTACTGAACTAAGTCAAAAGTTCTTCAACAAAAAGTCAAAGATACAGTACTGAGATTTCTCAGGAAGTGGCATCTTTTTCTGTTCATTAAATTTGCTGTAACTTATGCCAGGCCCTGTCACGAAGCAATCTCTGTGCCTGGTCCTTAACAGGAGGAGCTTTCTTCGAGCAGACACCTTCGGGAACTTGAGTAGCTCAGCTTCTTGAGAGAAGACCCCAAAAGAGACTCCCCAGTCAAGCCCATGTCCCTTAGCCTGACAACACTGGGCCTTGAAATCTGGCCCTCCCTGTCTCCCAGCTCCTCCTAGCCTCTTGGTTTCATTTCATGCCCACAGTGCAGCTCCAGGATTCCATGCTCTTGTCCATGCTGTCCCCGGCTCCTGAAAGTTTTCTTCCCATCTCGGCCTAATTCTCCTGATGCTGTATTTTCCTCTTTAGGAAGCCTCTCCTTACCAGCCCACCCCCAGATTGGCTTCTCTGCTGTGCTCCCAGAATACTTGGGGCACATGTCTACCATAGCATTTACCTCATTATGTTCCAAGTGTTTACATGTTTCTCTCTCTTTCACTAATCAGTAGTCTTCAGAGTGGAATGATGCATTGGAGCAAGGGGATGGAGTGGCATGGGATAGACAGTCCACAGGATGAAGGCAGTAAAGATGAAAATATATGTGTATTTATTTTTATCTAATCATTCTTATTTTTGTTTTATAATGAACATAATACATAGATAGAGGAGTATAAGTACATACATTACAGTGTGTATTAATATAATCAAAGGTGCATTGCTGATAACTGCCCTAGATTGTATGTTTCTCCAAAGCAGAGAATGACCCTTTTTCATCTTTCAGTGATTTTAAAATGGTTGCTGAGGGGCACCTGCGTGGCTCAGTCGTTAAGCATCTGCCTTCTGCTCAGGTCATGGTCCCTGGGTCCTGGGATCGAGCCCGCATCGGGCTCGCTGCTCCGCAGGAAGCCTGCTTCTCCCTCCCCACTCCCCGTTTGTGTTCCCTCTCTTGCTGTGTCTCTCTCTGTCAAATAAATAAATAAAATCTTCAAAAAATAAAAAAAATAAAATGGTTGCTGAACTAAAACCAAGATCCAAGTCCTCCTCCTTCCCACGGAAGACTGTGAGCAGTTAGGGAATGATCAACCAAGGCTCACTGCCCCTCCCATAACAGTCCTAAAGACCTAAAGATTCAAAACAAATGAGCGAGACCAGGAACAGCAGTTTGCAAGAATGGATTTTTTTGCGGCCAGAGAGTTCCTTCCTTGACAGTAGGACTCCCTCCTGCTGAAAGCAGCTGTCATGGTGGACACACTGGAAGGAAGTTGACTCAGCACTCCGGCTTTAGCTTATATGGCCATAGATTAGTTCCAAAATCTTCTTTTCACAGCACATTACAGTTATTTAGCAAACTGGATACATTTTTTTTCACCTTGCCAATGAAATGATGGTCTACATGTCTTTTCAATAACACTAGCTAATATAATTTTGAGGGCCTGGGTTTTTGTTTTTTTTTTCTTTAATTTTAAGTTGATTTTTAGCGTTTAGAAAATAATTTAACTATGAGACACAGCCAAAGAATAAAATCTCTGGCTTAAGAATGAAAAAATAATTCTTCTAATCTGACAAAGAAATTTATACAGTGATTTTTGAATGAGAGGTACCTTAAAGGAAAATAGCTCCAAATGCATTTTATGATATGTAAACAGAAAATAGTATCATCTTTTCTTTGTAGCAAGGAAATATGACTTTAATACTTCTGATTTTGAAAATATGATGTATTTTTTTCTTGAGTGAAAACGGCTTTATTTTATAACATAGAGTCAGGAATTAGTGCTATCTATATGATTTTACATCTCACCGTGGCCCTAAGTTACAAAGGTGAATTTCTTCTCTCCATTATGTCAGCCAATCTGATTCACTTAAATGGCTGAACTCTAACTTGCATTAAATATAAAGCTATAATTATAAACCAAATAACTTCTCCCAAAAGCCATTTTTATTCCTTAGAATGGCATTCCCTAAAACACATGTCATACTCTATTACAGAAATCACAGCTTTGATTCATTCAATGTTTAAATATATAACATAGAATTTATGTCCCTCTTTTTGACAATTTTAGTTAAGAGCTGGTGTCATTTAAAATGTCAAGAAACTCCAGTCCTGCAGATGTTATACAGATGTCTATTTCAAGCAGTATTACTAAATCACAATAAAAAAGGGGGGCATTTTTAACTAATACAAAAATGCAGAGAGTTATGACTGTATAAATATATAGTAGTATGAACCATTGGGGCCAAGTTTTCAGAGACCCAATCAGGAGTCCTTTTGATGTGTTTGAGATTTTATGCCTGCAAACTAATTGTACCCATATTTGGATTTTTGTGCATGCAATTGGCCACTTGCTTCTTCAGCTTTAGAAGCAAATGGCCAAAGAAGGCCCCAGTTTGTGCAAAATTAGCTGTCAGCAAGGTTAGAGGGGGAGAGAGTGCTTGGAGGAGAGGATGCACGTGCTCTGAAATACTCAAGGATCTGATGAAAACTGAGCCCTTCAAAATATTACTAAATATAATCTCATTAGCTGAAACACATTTATGTCCCCCACATACCACCATCCTATTAGAAAGAAAATTAATGATCTTTTTTTTAAAACACGGTCTCTGTTAACACATGAACCCACTAAATAAATTCAGCATTTCAAAATAAAGATAAATTCATTTAAAATAACCTATTTGTGGGTTTTCCTGTAAGTGCTACCAAAGAGGTCATTAGGCTGTATTTCATTTTCAGCTGTTAATTTTGTGCTCACCTGGCCTAACATGACAAAAGGATCAGCAAATTGGAGACCTCAGTTCTGGTCCAGCCTGTCATTAACAGCATGATCGCATTTCTGTCCTTTAATTCTTAGGTCCTAGTTTACCTCATCTGTAAAAGAGGAGGATGGACAGGAGATCCAAAGCCCCATTCCAACTCCATTTGAGAGGATGCCCACTGACCGCAAATCTTTATGAAGATGTGAAGATATATAGGCAGGAGGTGGTTATTGATTACAAACACTATATTCCAGGGCAAAGTTAGAATTAGAAGCAAGGTAAATTCTGAATGAAAACCACAGAAAAATTACAAAAGAGAATTGGTTGGAGAAACAAGCACCTTTGAGGACAGTCTTCATTTTGCCATTCAACACCCAGCACCTCTCCTAAATTTTCTATGTCATGTCTTTTAGTAGCATGGTTCTTCTCTACATCTGGAAACTTCGGAAATGCCTTTTACGGAGCAGACTTCTTTTCCGCTCCTATATGGAATCTTTGGTGGAGGCCGCTTCCTTCTTCAGTCCCACTGCTGTTAGGGCTGCGTCGTCACTGTCCCCAAAGTACCCCCATTCCAGCTCTCCAAATCTGATCCATCCAGAAGACCTGATCACATTTCATGTGCTCCACGGGAACTTCCAGACGACTCTGACCCTCACGATGTTTTCTTTATTCTAAACCGCCAAGGCTTACTTAAGGTGGGGATGGGAGAGAAAAATATATCCACCGGGTGCTAGGTATCAGGCACTATGGCAGGTGCTATATATATTTTTCTCCTAGAGAGAACAGTAAGTAATTTTTCCAAGTTAAACAGTGGTTCTCAACCGTGGCTGCATATTGGAATCACCTGGAAAGCATTTAAAAAATCCCGGTGCCTGAGTTCCATACCCAGTGGTTCTGAATTAATCAGTCCAGGATACAATTTGAGCATGGGGATTTTAACAAGCTTTGTAGGTGACTCCAATGCACAGTTGAGGTCCACAGAGCTAGCTGGAGGCAGAGCTCAGCTGTGTGTGTCTCTAGAGCCCAGACTCTTTTGGCACCACACAGATATTTTTACTCAATTATGCCTTCCTTTTATTATGCTGTAATTATTTTACATGTATAAATTGTAACCCTCTAACCTGATTATAAATTTTTTGAGGTTTAGCATTGTAAGTTAAGAGGCTTACATACGTTGATATATTAAAGTGCTCAGAATATCCCTAGCATCTGACACGTGCTATGAAATGTTTTTTGTTTTTTTTTGTTTTTTTTTTTAGTTATTGTATTTTAACACCAATAGCACCTAACATCTAGTAAGGTAGATATTTCAATAATGTATTAAGTTAAAATCCTCCCAGAGAGTACTAGTTTATCTCTCCCAGTTCTCTCTTAATATACCCACATTTTTTTTCCTTTTCTGTGATCAACTAGTAAGCCATAAACTAGATCTTCTTTCATATTTTCTTATTTCTAACTATCCCACAAACACACAATTCTGACATCCTTGAGGTCATGAAATGTTAATGCACCATATTCATCACCTAAAAGTAGGAATTCTTCCCACTAAAATTAATGTCACACCAGATACTTTTGTTAACAGAAAGCAAAGCCAGAATGGATAAAGTTGTTATTTTTTTTTTCTAACTCAAAAAGCAGCTAGGAATATTTAGCTCCTCAGTACTTTGAAGAGAAACATCTAGTGGTAACATAAGCAAGACCTTTAGGGTAGAGCATGTGATTGTTGGAGACATCAGGGTATTCTCCACAAAGGATGTAAGTAACCACTCTGTATTCAATGTACTGGTTCAAACTCCATTTCTGAAAAGATGAAAAAGGAAAAAAAATCAAAAAAATCATTTCTTGATTTTTTCTAATAAATTATTAATGTGTCTACTCACACTAAAAGCAGAAGTATTTTGAATACATATCACTTTATCAATAAAATAGAAAAGATCTTAAATGCATTGACAATATTCATTTATCTCATAAGCATTTACTAAAGCTTGTGACCTATTTTGTGCCTGAAGTCTGCTAGTAACAAAGGTAAATATGATATCATAATTGTGCTAGATACATTACATGCATTATCTCATGAAATCCTCCCCCCAGCCATGTGAGAACAATACATGCCTCGTCTTACAGCTGAAGAAATGAAGGCAACTAGAATGAGCTGAAGAGATTCACACCAAAAAGGTCACCGATCAAGTTAAGGAACAATACCTAGTCTTCAAAATAATGAGTTATCAGAATATTAAAGTACTTCTCTGATACCTTGACTCTCTTGAAAGCAGGGAATATATCTATTACTGGATTGCTAACCTAAGCTTGTGTTAGGTCAATGAAGATTTGTGGTCAGCTGCCTTAAGATTAGTGGCTTCCCATCTACTTTGGTCCTATTTAGTACCTAATGTATTATTTAAAAACAAGTAATAATGGAGTAGCACCCAATCACTTGTTCTTTTGTTAAGAATGTAGTTTCACAGAGCAGGACTCATACTTGATTTCGGCACTGACTGTGTTATTTCAGAACATTTCTACGTGTTGTGATTCTATCTGGTTGGCAGGGGGCCATGCCCCGCTCTGTGGACTTACACAGAGCGGTCTTCTCTCTGTAGTGACTTACGAACTGTAATTTCACTAGTAGAATCTGAACAAAGATTTCGCTGTCTATTCCAGGCCAATGGATCGTGCCTTGCCTTAGCTGTTCAGACAACAGGACCTGTGACTGGAGGGAAATAACTTGGCAGCCCCACGACTGCCAATACGGTGTTCTAACTAAGCCCCAACTCCAGCAGTGCCTGGGAGGAAGGAAGGTAGGTTCTGGATCCAGTGGGGAGAAGCCTTTCATTTATGCCACCTGCAGCACCAAGAGCCATGCAATTGTATTGACTAGACCGATTCCTGCTCTCTGACTCCACAGAGGGTAACTAACTGCATGCCATTTGGCTTTTAGAATTATGGGTAAATGTTACTCTAGAAGATCCTGAACAATTCTTGCTCAGAATGATCCATTATTTCCAAATAAGTCTACTTGACAGATGGAGGACATTAAAGTCATGTCCCCGGCTGCCCCAATTCCATGCTGGTCCTCTCAGCACACATTGGTAAGAGCTTGCCACGTCCGCGGACAGATGGCAGTTCTGAGAAGCTGGCCTTGTCAGCCGCGGCTCCAGCAAGGCCCTGCAGTTACAGCAGACATCTGCAGCTTGCTTGCACAAGCAATGAAATGTCCCTGCATGTCAGGCTCACTTCTGCTAGAGCTTCCCGAGTGCATGACACGCTAACCTTCCTGATCTTCTTTCACGTTCCCGGGCAGGTCTCACACGGACCTCACTAGGCTGCTTTTCCTTTAGTGAGGCCTCTAAGCTGATTTGTTGGACATGCAGTGTCTCCTTGCTAGGCGCGCTCTGAGTAGGTAGATCCCGGCCGAGCTCTTGGACGTGTGAACTGGGCACATAGACTGAAATGCTTGGTTAACATGAAGTAAGTAATTCTTATCCAGATCTTCAAAGTACTTTTTATTAGATGAACATTTCCTTACAAACCATTTGTAAGTGCTCACATAGGGGCAAGACTGAGTTCAAAACCTGATTTTTTTTTTTTTAAAGTTCTATTAATGCATAAGGGAAAGAGCACTGGGATGAATGTATGCCAGTTTTTCAGATCAGCCTAGGTTCAGATTCTCTACTAGCAAATAATTTAAAAATAATGACAGGGGGTAAAGAGCAGGGCAGGAGGATGGACATTCTTCTTCATGGTGATTCCAATATAAATGCCCCAATTTTCATGACTGGAGAGTAGCCCTGAAGATAAAGCAGCTGTATTCGTTACTTTTAAAAAGGAAAGAGAAGAAAACAAATATTTAGAAATGTATGAACCGTCAGTATTATTAACTGAGAATTGATTCTGTGCAAGGAAGTAAGCGTGCTGCTAACTTTTTCATACCTTAAATCTGACCAGACTGTAAGCTTCATGAAGACAAGGGACATGTTTGAATCACTGACATAATCTCACTGCTTGCACAACTTTTTGATATGTAATAGTCGCTTATCAAATATTTGTTAACAGATAGGGTATAATCTTGTTTATTTCTAATCACAAATCTGTGAGGTAACTATTATATCTGTTTTCTACTTAAGAAAATTAAAGCTCAGGGCGCCTGGGTGGCTCAGTTGGTTAAGCGACTGCCTTCGGCTCAGGTCATGATCCTGGAGTCCCGGGATCGAGTCCCACGTCGGGCTCCCTGCTCAGCAGGGAGTCTGCCTCTCTCTCTGACCCTCCCCCCTCTCATGCTCTCTATCTCATTCTCTCTCTCAAATAAATAAATAAAATCTTTAAAAAATAAAAAAAATTAAAAAAAAGAAAATTAAAGCTCAGAGAGCTTGAAGAATTCTCCCATGATCACACGCGTATGTGTGGCTACTACTCTGGCATTTTTAACCACCAACTTGGACAATCCAACATCCACATCTAAGAAATGCAGGACTGGAAGCAATGAAAATAGTTGTTGCTGTAATAGTTAGACGTCTCTAAACTCTTCCAGAATCCTGTTCTGACCTCAGAATTTAGAGCGTTCAGGAAAATTCCAAGATGTCACAGTCTATTAACCTGAAAGGCAGTAGATGTTAATTTAAATTCATAACTAAATTCCATGGCTTTTGACATGACCCACGTTGTTTCCCCGGCTCACTTTCTTCATCTATAAAATAAAAGAAGCCTATATGATCTAATCCTATACTGTAGATTAGTCAGTTTAGAGAAAGCTAAAAGCCTTCTTCCTCATCTGTCTGAAAATATCATCGACTGGGTGGCTTACACAACAGATGTTCATTTCTCATAGCTCTGTAGGCTGAGAAATCTGAGATCTGGAGGCCAGCAGGGCTGGGTTCTGGTGAGAGCTCCTTCCCAGCTTCCATTGGCTGCCTTTCTGCGGTCCTCACAAGACAGAGATAGAGCTCCAGTCTCCTCTTCTTCTAAGGACACTAATGCCGTCATGGAGGCCCCACACTCAATACCTCATCTGGCCCTAATTGCCTTCCAGGTGTTCCACCTCCTAATACCATCACTCAAGAGGGGTAGGGTTTCAACATATAAATTGGGGGGGAGGCACAAATGATACAGTCTTTGCTATTTTCAAGGCTGATTATTAGCAACTCGACAAAGTAATGGTAAGAAAAAAGGAAGATCCCTTTTTTTTCTACCTGTTACAGAGGATATTCCAAAGTCTGAAGATAAGCCCTATGTTCAGATTAGGCAATCCTGGCCAAGACCAGCTGGCTGGCTGCTTAGCAGTGAGGGCTTCTCTTAGTTGAGTCTCTTAGTCTAACAGAGGCATCATTCAGACCTTCACGCTCAGAATTCCAGTTTGCTAGCACACTGGCCATGGTTCCACAGAGTCCAGTGTGTTTACCAGGATGCGAATGTATTCTATACACCACAGGGAAGCATTGTCCATTTTTAGCAGAGAGTGACATGGCCAGAGTTAGAAAAAAATCACTCCACAGCAGTATGGAGACTGCCTACGGGGAGGAGGATATGGGTGCTGGGGAGATAGAGACTCTTTAACGGAAAAAGTCCATCACACAACATTGAGGAGTCAAAGCAAGTATAGATTCTAAGTACAGATTTCTGAAGAAGTATGATTTCAAAGATAGAGTATATATTCTATAGTGTATGTATAGAATAATGCCATTGATGTAAAAACTAATACACACATGTAAATGTGCCTGCATACACAGAAAATTCTGGAAGTAACACAGTCAAGAATGATTACATAAGTGAAGGGGAACAGGAGAGGGGTGGTGTGGTGACAGGACTGCTCGTATTCCACGAGGCTGAGGACAAAATGAAAATGCAGGACCCTGTGTTCAAAATGATTAAAATTTCCAAGAAGGCAACAGCAGAGCAAGAAAACAAGCCCAGGTCCCTCCCACTGCACGAACTCTGTGTAGCCCCCTGGGTCACACGCCCACGAAGCCAGCTCAGGGAGCAAAGCATGATTGGCGAAGGGTGAAGAGATCTTTGGAAATATCTGTATGATTTTTATTTTCGTGGGTAAGCATTTTTTAATCTAAAAATCTGTATCTTAAAAGGTTGTATACATCAGAATTAGGACAGAGGCAGTGGAAATGCAAAGGAGAGAGAGTCTGAGAAAGAAATTTTATATTTACAATCATGGGACCTGATAATATACAGACAGGTGCATGCACACACACACACACACACACACACACCACACAGCACAGGCATAATTGTGTAAACATCCACAATTACGACTATCAAATAGCACTTATCTTAAGAAAACACCATTTATGAATAGAAGTAGGTTAGCAAAAAGTTTTCCCAGTATATTTATTTCTCACTCTCCATGAGAAAAATATAAATATACAACGTATCTTGACACTCTTTCATTACTAAATGAGGACAATGCTCATCCTACCCAGAATTTTTTGTAATCATTATTCTATCCCAAAGACAAATATATATTAAAGCATACCAATTACAAAAATAGAAAAACAAGTAACATAAATATTTTGTTTTTTAAACACCATATATACTGACATTGGGGGGGGGACTCACTTTCTACTGTGTCACATGTTCAAAAGAAACATGTTATTTCAGCGACTTTGTACAGAAATTTACTTCACATCTGCATAAGGATAGCAGGGTCGCGGCGCTTGGACTGGTGGTCAGCAAGACTGCACTACAGTTCTGATACCATCAGACAAAGGGATTCTTTATTCACCGACTCCATCAGATTAACTCTGGTGCCCCACATCAGAAACCGTGTTTAACAAGACTTTCTGTAACTTTCATGATGTTCCACTGCTCATTCATTCATCTAGCTTTTGATGAGCTAAGAATCTGTTCTAGGGGCATACAAACACGATCCTCCAAAGAGCTACATTTCTAGTAGAAGGAGACACATGAGAGAAATGAGTGTTACACATAGTGGGTTGCAAAGGTAGAGAGCCCCTAGAGGGTGACACCCTGGACTCCCAGGTTCTAGAAAGTTGCTAAAAGTGCCTACAAAGGGCGGTGGTGGTAGTTATAAGCAATCTACCAAACACGTTACTTTGAAATGGCTTAACTGAACTGGAAAAAAATAGGGATCTTCATTTTTCCCCCAAGAAGAATCTGTAGGGAGAGTCCTATCCCTCAAGCCTAGTGCCTTCTTGGATTTCCCCCGGATTGGAAGGAACAGATGATGGGCAGGAACCAATCAGGAGTGCAAGAGAGGAGTCCGAGTTTCTCATTTGTCAGTGTAGCAATTTATGTTTCTTGGATTATGTAAAAGTGGGATATACTTAAACATGCAAATTCTAACAGCATAGTAGCCTTACTAACCTGAAGACTGTCAATTAATATGTAAAACTCAGATTTTTTTACAGTGAGAAGCCGAGGTTCACTGTTGCCATGAATAGGCAGAGCAAAAGCTGTGCCGCAAAAAAAACAGAACTTTATTTTAAATCCTAATCAAGGCAAGCTTCAGCTTTTGGGGATGCATTAAACGGAATTATCTTCCTCCAAAGAATGAGATTTAAATGCAATAGAATTTGACGGGGCTGGTGAGAATGATTGGAAAATTAGGCCTTCTAGCATTCTGCTTTCTTTAGAATCCTCAAGTGGTCATTTCCCTCAACTGAATTTCCTTATGTTGTTCTTATGACCTTTTACATCTTTTTACTACTGTTCTACACTAATGAATGCAAGGCTATACTTGGAAACATGCCCACCTGTGAGGACAGAGCAAGGCACAAATCAGTTGAGACTTAAAAAGGGGTTCAAGTTTCCAGTAACTTTGGCCAGGAAC